TTTGAGCCACAGCATCACTTCTGGCTTTTTCTGAATAGTTTTATTGGTGATAAGTGTCTTACGGCCTTTCCTGCCTGGGCTGGCCTTGAGCTGCGATCCTGAAATCTCAGCCTCCTTTAGTAGTTAGGATTGCAGCCATGAGCTACCAGCACCTGGATATTTAGGCTGTGTTTTAAATGCACCAAACTAGCTGTGTTAGCCAGCTTTTCACCACTATGACAGAACATCTGAGATGAAAATTTTTAATTGAGGAAAAAAAATGTTATCATTGCTCATGGTTTCAAAAGTTCCATTCACAGTGGGATGCTCTTAGGCCTTCAAAAGCATCAAGGCAGAAGAAAGTTAGCCACTTGTGTGGCAGTCAAGAAACAGAGAGAGAGAGAGAGAGAGAGAGAGAGCAAGAGAGCGAGAGAGTGATCGCCACAAGGGTCTGGAGATAGGCTATCACCTTCAAAGTTATGTCCTCAATGATGTAGGTAATGAACTTTAGCATTGAAATTATGCAAGTAGGCAACTGATGAACAAGGCATCCTTATGATCCAGTTCCTTTCAATGGAGCCACCCATCTGGGGACCAAGCTTTCAATACATAAGCTTTTTTGAGGGAAACCTCACACCCAAACCACAACATTCCTTCTGATCTCAAAATGCTTATGTCTTCTAATGTAAGATACATTTGGTTCATGCCTCAGAGTTTGTTTTATTTTGCCAGTCATGGTGTCTGAACTCTGGGCCTGGGCACTGTCCCTCAGCTCTTCAGCTCAAGGCTAGTGCTCTACCACTTGAACCACAGCACCACTTCCAGCTTTTTCTGCTTATGTGGTGCTGAGGAATTGAACCCAGGGCCTCATGCATGCAAGGCAAGTGCTCTACCACTAAGCCACCTTCCCAGCCCCCATGACTCAGAGTTTTTTTTTTTAATTTTAATTTTAATTTTTTGTGAACATACTGTACAGAGGGGTTACAATGCCTCAGAGTTTTAACAGTCAAGCATGACTTGTTTAAAAGTTCAAGTCAGAACTGGGCACCAGTTGTCCATGCCTGTAATCCTTGCTACTCAGGAGGCTGAGATCTGAGGATAGTGGTTCGAAGCCAGCCGGAGCAGAAAAGTCCATGAGCCTCTTATGGCCAATAAACTACTCAGAAAAAGCCAGAAGTGGCTCTGTGGCTGAAGTGGTAGAGGGTTAGCCTTGAGCACAAAGAGGCTCAAGGACAGAGTCCAGGCCGAATAGGAGTCCTAGGACTGGCAAAAAAGAAAAGAAAAAGAAAAAAGAAAAAAAGTTCAAGTCGGAAATCTCTTCTGAGACTCAAGACAAAGTGTTAGCTGTGAAGTCCTCTGAGATCAGACAAGATTGGGCGCGTTCAGGGTGGTATGGCCGTAGACTTAGCTGTGAAGTCCTATAACAACTAAACACTAGATAAAAAAAATCTATATGATCCCCAAATACAATGACATAGAGCAAACATCCCCATTCCAAATGGAAGTCATGGGGCCACAGAAGGGAGAAATGGGACCAAAGCATAAAAACACAGCAGAACAAACATTGTACCCGGTAGCTCTAGATGGCTTAGCCAAGCAACCCTTATGTCCTTGCCACTTGTTGCCCATAAGCCTCTCTCCAAGGCTCTTCTTTCTGCTTGCAGCTTTCTTCAACAAATGTTTCTTGTTCCTGGCATTTCTGACTTACTGTGGTCTCCACTGAAGTTTCAGTTTCACTCTCACAACTTCCTGAATCATCTTCTCAAGGGCTGCCTCTGATTCCAGTCCTACTAGACTTGCCTGGCCACTGAGGCTTTCTTTTGGTATGTGGATAGAAGTCCCTGTAATTCCCCTTTAAATACATTCATCTTATTGGGAAAACTAGCATCATGTGGATGATGCCAAATTCTGTCACCAGCCTACACCAGCTACACTAGCATGTAGCTAGACCCCCATGGACCATGGCTGAACATGGGGAAATGCTTCTCAAGGCAACCGTGTGTGAGCAGACTTCTGCTGCAAAGTCAAGTCTTTCAAATATCTTTACATCATCTAGCCTGTTATGGCTGAAGCTGGACAATTTTTTACTTACGCTGAAGGTATTTTTTCCTATTGTCCTATGGAAAGTATTTGGCTTTTTAATATTATGTATCTGTTATAATCATCCCTTCCTTGGTCCAAACTTTAAAAATGCTCCTTTTCTGGCCAAACTACAAAAATTCAAACCCTCTTGCTTTGGTTTTCTAAAGGCACTCAGCAATATTCATGCCATGGTCCGAACTCTATGCTGTCTTTAAAGCTTTCCAGGCTAGTCTGTCAGTTTCAAATTTAGCTTTGTACAAAGTCTCAGGGAACAGACAAAATGTAGGCAATTTCTTTGCCAGAATGTAACACAAATGTAACACAAATCTACTATAATTCCCAGTCTAGTTCTCATTCCCACCTGAAACCTTATGAGCAGTTTTCTGTTTACATTCCATCAGCAGCATGGTCTTAAGCTGTTATCATATTTGTCCAGTGAACCCTGCTTATAGCATTCTAAGGCTTCCCTAAGTCCGTTTCTCAATCTATTAATATTTAAATCAGCCATTTCTGCCTTGAGTTATAATTCACATTTAAAGTGTATAATTCAATTTTTTAAAAAAGTATATTTATAGTCATTTGGGCAATACTATCTAATTGTAGAAGATTTCATCACCTCCACAAAAATGGTTTCTTTTTGTAGAAGTCATTCATTATTTTTCCTTACTCATCATCTGTCAATAATTTTTCATTCAGCATCTGTTTTTCTCAAGGGTCAATATTGTACCATTGATCAGTATTTGAATACTTTTTCAAATTAAATAATACTTCATTGCATGGATTTACCAGTTTTCAATTCTCTTGTTTCTGGACACCTGTTTTCACTTGTTTTGAATATACAAATAGTTATGAGTTTCATGGACACATTTTATTGTGAACATATTTTAAATTCTCTTGGGACATATCTATGTATCTTATGGTAACTCTACTTACACTGTAGAACTGCTATGCAATTGATCCTTAAATGTTTGAAATCAGTCAACATTGAAGAATCTGGCCATTTTTATGTTTATTTTGGTAGGTTGTGATTCTTGAACTCTGGGCCTGGGCGCTGTCCCTGAGCTCTTCAAGTGGTAGTGCTCTACCACTTGAGCCACATACCACTTCTGATTTTCTGTTGGTTAATCAGAGATAAGAGTCTCACAGAGATGTTTTCCTGCCCAGATGGCTTTGAACTGTGATCCTTGGATCTCAGCCTCCTGAGTAGTTAGGATTACAGGTGTGAGCCACCGGTGCTGGGCCATTTTTGTTTTTTTATAATAGTCTATCATCATCTACTCATTCTTCTTCAGCTCTGCAGCTTTTTCCTTAAGATCATATTACAGGCATTCTGGTGATAAATTCACAGTCTATTTGAGTTACAAAATTCTTTCCTACATCAGTATTTTGATATCTGTCTTAGCTAAAAGTATCTCATTTGCACAGAATCTTCACTAGGTAATATGTACAATTCACAGGAACCTTCACCTTCAGCCAAACTTTGAAGTCATCAGAATCAAATCCACCTTCCAGAGGAAGATAACTTACATAACACAGTGTCGCCAGGACCAGAACCCTTTGCTCTTGACATACTATGCTCCCAACCTTGCCCACAATGAACGGAGTTCTCTTTTTTGTTTCTTTCTCTTCTTCCTTCAAATCCTTTCTCCTTTCATCTTTATTAGTGTGTTTTCAGGAAGTCACGGATTATTATAATGCACGATTTTTGTAAAGTTTGAAGTATCACTAAAGCAGCAGATACATTGTGGTGGGTTAAGTAGTATGCACTTGACAGTACTTACACACACATACAGTAATTACACACGACACTGACACACACACATGTTTTGTAAAACATCGCTGGTGTCTGCTGTGTGTCCATGGCAGAAGAAATGGCCATGAACAAGCTCGGTCGATGGCAAATTGTGTAACTCCCAGTTGGTCTTGTTCAATCTCTTCTTTCCTGCGTTTCCTGTGGTGAGTGACAGTTGTGAGATCCCTTCTAACGGTTTTTATTCCCCCCTTTTCTTACAGTTCATGATGGTTGAACTCTCAAAAGACTTCGCATTCCCAAAATACTCTGGTTCCCATTCTAGTCTCTTCATTACTGAATCTCCCAGAATCACCCTCCTCCCTCCCTCCCCCCCCCCCACTCCCCTGTCCTTGGACACGCAGGTTTGCTGGACAGTCGAAGGGGAGGGGCTTCCTAGATTTCCACGCCCCTGTCACTTACCTGTCTTAGGTAACTGTACTTCTCCTTGGATGTCCCTAACGTCGGATCGCCCCACACAACAGAGCCCCAACGTCTCCAGATTCTTTCTGGCTGACGTGTGTGTGTGTGGTGGGGGACCCTGGGACTTGAACTCAGGGCCTGGGCATTGTCCCTGGGCTCTTAGCGCCACTGTAGGCTTGGGGGGGGGGCGGCTAGCTAATTGAAGATAAGAGTTCCACGGACTTTACGCGGGCGGGAGGTGGTGTTTACAGGGGACCGGCCCGAGCCCGCTCTTCCCATCCCGGACCCCAAGGCCGCGCACCTCCCTCATCCCAGCGCCAGCCCGGGAAAAACTTGCGACCACGGCCCGCGCATGCGCGTGTCGACTCGGAGGCCGAGGCCGGGACTCCCCCGTCGCCTCCCCTGCCCCATCCCCGCCCCCGTCTCCATCCCCGCCCCCGCCCCGGGCGCTCCCGCCGCAGCCGCCGCCGCCGCCGCCGCCGCCGGCCACGACAGTTTGGAGCCTGCTGACAGCTCCACCACCGACAGACGCAGCCTCGTCTCGTGCTTCCACGTTATCCTATCAGAGAAGGGGCGGGGCGACATCCTGCAAAGCCAATCAGCGTCCACCACGACCCAGGCGAGCCCAGGCGGCCAGCGGCTAAGAACAAAATGATTGGACGACGTCGGCGCTCGGGGCGTTGCGTAGCCCCGCCCCGCCCACCGCTGCCTTCCCACTTCTGGGCGCCAGCCACGACCGAGGCCTGATTCGAGAGAGCGGACGGCGGGCGGTCGTAGCTACAGCCCAGGCGCCGCGCGGGCTGGTGGGCCCCGCACCTTCCTCCTCCGCGTCGCCGGTGCCCTCGGACATGGTGGCCCCCGGCTCCGTGACCAGCCGGCTGGGCGCAGTGTTCCCCTTCCTGCTGGTCCTGGTGGACCTGCAGTACGAAGGTGAGAGTCCGCCCTGCCCCGCCGCCGGCGGCGGACTTCCGACCCGGGACCCCGCGCTCCCTCCCCGCCGCGCCTGGGCGCGAGGGTGGGGGGAGCCGCCCGCGGCCTGGGCCTCCGTCCGTCAGTCCGTCCGTCCGGCTGGGCGGCGGCCGGCGCTCGGTTCCGGGTTCGTCCGGGGAGGAGGCGTGGGGACTGGCGGGCCGCGAGGCCAGGACCGCGGGTTCCGAGGGAGGAGTCGGGCCGCGGGGGGTCCGGGGCGGAGGCCCCGGGATGCGGGGAACTGACCCGGGGACGGCCGTCGGGTGCTGGCCTCGTTCGGGTCCGCGGTGCCGGGAGGAAGCGAGAACGGTGGCCGGCAAGGGCGGCCCCCCCTCCTTCCTTTTCGGGGTTCCGAGTGTGGCGAGCAGGGGGCCGCGGGGGGTCGCCCCGGTGGCCTCTCCCCGCACCCCGCCGCGCGCGGGTCACCTGGCGCGCCCCGCAGGCCGGCGCTGAAAGTTTTCCAGGGCTCCCAGCGTGGGGCCTGGCATTCAGCTAATGGCTGGTTCTACTTTTCCCAAGTTGTCTGGGGCGGCGTGCGGCGTGTCCAACAGTCTGGCGTGTCGGCCGGGAGGAGGCACCTCGAACGCCCCCCGTGCCAGTTGGAACGCATGCTGCCAGCCTGCTCGCTGTGGGAAATACCGATGACAGGGCGCTGGTCCTGTCACACGCACTGATGCTGTTGTCACGACCACGGGACGGTCGGCCAAGGGTTCGAGTGAAATATTTGAGTAGTCCATCCAGAGGGGGCGAGACAGTTGGGAATTGTTTTTAACTAGTGAAAAACCCTCTTAAAACTGTTCAACACTTTTTGTTTGTTTGTTTGTTGGGTTGGCTTCCTGGTTACCCTATTTTCTTAGGAAACTCCCAGTCAGAATGTGTAATATGACTCTAGGGAGACAAAGAATTTGACACTGAGACTGCCCCAGAAAATCGACAGAAGTGGATTTTGAAGGAATTTGACGTGTAGTTTTGTCTTAACACCTTCTAATTTGCAATTCACCCTTCTGCATTAGGTCCAGTTATCATTAATGCTTTACTTTGGGCACATAAGAGAAAATTGCACATGCCCTGTTTAATGCCAACTTTTAGTTTTTTTTAAAGTTATATAGGTGCACACTTTTTGTACAATTAGCTTTTTTGGGGGACCATCATTTTAGAATTTCTATTCTTTATATGATTATGTAAAATCAACACTTCATTTTTTTACTTAGAGAGCTTTCTGTCTGGATGCGATGGTGACGATTCTTAGTGTAATACCCGAGTGTAATCTTCAGGAGCATTGCCTGCTTGGTACATACAGGTGGTTGACAGAAGAAAGGAAAAGATCCTTTGTGTAAGCCACCTCTTACTCATGTATCTATGGAGTGTCATTTCTGCTGTACACATGAGGCTCTGAGCGCTTAATTAAAGTTCATCTTGGGTGGAGACATGTTAAATTGTTGACAACCTCATGTAGGTGCAAGCATTTCTCACTGGTGGCAGCTGAGAAAAATCACCATTGCTAGCCACCAGAAGTAATCAACAAGGAGGAGATTTTTCAGACAGGACAGGTTTAATACAAACTTAAATGAACATCAGAATCAAAACATAAAGGCTTTTGACTGGGTCCAAGTGACTCATATCCATAATCCTGATTTCTCAGGAGGCTGAGATCTGAGGATTACAGGGTTTAGTTCAGGTATGAAAAGTTCATGAGACTCTTAACTCCAGTTGGAACTGTGGCTGAAGTGGTAGTATAGAGTGCCAACCTTGAATGAAAAATCTAAGGGATAGTGCCCCAGCCTTGATTTCAAGCCTGCAATACGAACACACACACACACACACACACAGCCAAACAAGAAACACACACACACACACACACACACACACACACACAGCCAAAACAAGAAACAAAACAAACATAAAGGCTTTTGACAGGAGTTTTGTATATCACGTTTCTGATTTTAATTGTGTGAATAGTAACTAAATTTTTGTATTTCTAAAACCATACTTTGAAAACCATGGGGCAATAAGTTGATGGAACAATTAGATATCAGTCTATGTATTAGACCCTTGGTTCTTGATGGCAATATAAAGATACATACCAACTCAGTCTTTAGTTAGCAAACCATTAGCTTCTGTTTTCCCAAATAAATTCTCTGTATCTTTCATTAGCCTCATAATTTTGGGAGATCTCTAGGTCAGATTGTATGCCCAATGCTAGGCCTGAGGTTTGGAGTGAAAATAAAGGAAAATGAGAAGAGTGAAGGTGAAACTGAGATTTAATGTTATGATCGGTGAGCTTAGATGGTCTAGTTTTTTTTTTTCTGATTTAAAGTTAATCGTTTTGTTTCATAGACTTCCCTGTTGTAAAGAAGGAAATCTGCTTCATGCATTGAAAGATTGATTCTTAGCATCCCCTTTCTCAAAGGCCTTTGAAGAGTCCAAAGCACTAGAGTAGAAATAGTTTTGGTGGCAGTATCTAATCTACTATTCTAATGTGTTTAATCTACTTTGCTATTCTCACATTACTGAGAAGAAAGTAATTTCAGTTCTTTGCTAATGATTTGTTCTATTTAGTGACTTGAGTAGGAACATTGAAAACCAAACCCTTTTTTCTTTTTACTGTTTTTCTTTTATCTTTTTCTTTCTTACTGTGTTATTTGGACCTATTTTTCCTTATTTCACTGACTTAAACTTATTAAACCATATATTTTGGTCATTGAGAAAAGTAGCTGAAAATTTATATGGGGGGGTGTTTCGGTTGTGGGCCTGAACTCTGGGCCTGGGCGCTGTCCCTCAGCTCTTCAGCTCAAGGCTAGCGCTCTACCACTTTGAGCCACAGTGTCACTTCCGGCTTTTTTTTTTTCTGCTTATGTGGTGCTGAGGAATCGAACCCAGGGCCTCATGCATGCAGGGCAAGCGCTCTACCACTGAGCCACCTTCTCAGCCCCTGAAAATTTATATGAATAAAAGATCATGATACATTGTATTTGAAGTTAAACTACTAAAAGCATGTTTTGTCAATAGGGTTTCCTTGTCATTAAATATGAACAGTAAAGCAAGTAATGAAAATGGATGATTTAGCAACTTATATAAATTAACCATAACAGATGGTCAGATAACTTCTAGAAGTATTTAAACTTTTTTAATAAAGGCTGGGAAGGTGGCTCAGTGGTAGAAAGCTTGTCTCGCATGCCTGAGGCCCTGGGTTCTATTCTTCAGCACCACATAAGCAGAAAAAGCCAGAAGTGGTGCTGTGGCTCAAGTGGTAGAGCACTATCCTTGAGCTGAAGAGCTAAGGGACAGCATCCAGGCTCAGAGTTTAAGCCCCATGACCAGCAAAAAACAAAAACAAAAAAACTTCTTTAGTAAGATAGGTTAGTTTGTCTGATTAGTTAACATTTGCTGAAAGAGGGCTTGGAAATGGAGTGGTTTTCATTCTGTGGGAGAGGCACATTGTTAGACGAGCTGCCTTGCAGTATTAGGGTTTATTTTCCCATGTAAACTTACTTGTGATTGAGTTTATTTTCGTGGTGTTCTTTTTAAAAAAATTTCTTTATTGAGGCTAAGTGATTACATAACCTTCACAATATTGTGGGATAGTGATACTTAGCTAAAGTCACAAACACATTTTAACCTTCACAAGATGAATTGGCCTTATCATTTTCTATAAAGCTTTTGAACTCTATAAACGTTGACAAAAGAACTGTTTCTTTCCTTTTGCTTAGCGTAAGCTGTTTCCTTTTTCTCTCTCCTTCCCCCCTCCCATTGCTACCCTTGAGTTGCTTAGTTCACTTTCATCAATGTCCAGTGCAGCTGATAGACATCTCTGCTGTATTTTTTTCACTTGTTTCCCTTTGATTCTGTGCCCTCCTCCTAGCTTCCCTCATATGTTCACATGTGTATACATGATGTTCTTTTAATTGATTAGCAATTTACCTTTGTTCACACAGAAATATGGGAACCTAGTCACCTGTTCTTTAGAACTCAAACATTGCAATCATAACTTTATTTTTCTTTCCATGGCTTTAGAAGCCTGTTTGCTCTTTCCCTTCCCTTTATTTTTTTTCTTCTTCCTTCCCTTTCCTTTCCTTTCCTTCTTTCCTTTCTTTCATTAGAAGTTCTAGAATATAAAGATTAATCAATCAACAAAGGCTTATGATGTATGATACTTTAGTGAAGTATGTACAGTATAAAATTGATGGTTTATCTTAAGAGTTTACAGTCAAGGGAAAATAAGGCAAGTATTTGTAAAGTATCCATGTCCTTTTTGCTTCCTTTCTTCATTTACATTTATTGGTCCATCACTGTAGTTCATTGTTTGTTGCTGCAGTTGCCCTTTAATTTGTCTGCTTTGATTTTATTCACTTGACAAAATGGAACCCATTAAGTATGGGTGTGGCCAACTTGTTTGTTGTACCTTAGATTAAAAAAAAACTAACTTTGTAGTTAGTCTCATTTTAAGCATATAGTCTAAATATCAAATGTACACTAAATATTGCTAATATTCCTACAATTCCCTAGTATATCTGATCTTGAAACATAGTTCTCTATTAAACTCCCAATTTAGACCTCCCTTTCTTCGCTTCCCTCACCTTATTCTTTTAAACTTGTCCTCAGATCTCAGCCTCCTGAGTAGCTAGGATTACTGGCTTGAGCAACTAGCTCCTGACTTTTTTTGTTTTGTTTTGGTTTTTTAAAGGTTGGGTTTTACTTTGTAGCTAAGGTTGACCTTGAACTTGCTGTGTAGCCCAGGTTGGCTTTGAACTCATGGTCCTCTTGCCTTAGCCTTCCTAGTGTTGGATGACAGACATGCACCAAAGGCCTTCTTGTTATATCCTTATGTGGCAAAAGGGACAAATGCTATGATTTCACATGGTAGAAGGGCAGAAGGAACCAGCTTATTTCCTCCAGCCCTTTAACGAGACTTAAGTGCGTTCACAACTTAATCTCTTGCCAAAATATCTTAATACTGCCAC